CCTGTGGCACAAAGCCCACCTGGCAGTGGGCTGCACACCTCAGTGTGTGCCCAGATCCCTTCCAGGCGGTCCCTGCTGGTTTCCATGCCATGTGCTGGGGCCTGGGGCTGAACCTCCCCAGGGAGAGGACTCTGCTCAGCCCCTGGTTGAACTTCAGGAGGTTCCATCAGCCCATTTCTCCAGCCGGTTGAGGTCCCTGAGGCTGCAGCATCATCTTCTGGTGTCAGCCATTCTATAGAGAACTGGGACTAGTTTTCTTGGTTTCTAAACTTTATATTTCATTTATTTGATATCTCAAAAGCAGTGGAAATCCAGGGAATGAGGGATTGAGGACCACCCGTTTTTGCACTTTGCAAAACTTAGTGCTTCATGTCTAACTGATCCTGTGGGGCAGCCAGTGCGAGACTGATGAAATCTGGGAGCCCCCCAAGGACTGTGTCCTTGCAGAGGCACTGCTGCTGAAATCACAGAGCCATGCTTAGTTGAGAGCATAAAGTTAGAGGGACTGGGAAAAACTTTATATTTCTGTTACTAAGGGTGCTCAGGGAGCAGATTTCTCTCACAGCTGGAGAGCCCACAGAGCAGTAAAAGAGGCCAGGAGGAACCAGTCAGAACACCCCAGGAAGAGAAGGAATGACCCCACACACTGGGGCAGGACACTGACTGCAGACCCAGCCCTGCTGGGTGGGCCCCATTCTTTGCCAACGGCTGGATGTGAAGCAGGAGCTCAAAATCCCATGAAAATCAGGGAGCACAAGAGCATTGCTGCTACATTTCTGCTGCAGTACCAGCCAAAAAGCAGCTCAAATTGGGCTGTTGGGTGCTTAATGCTGCCACCTCCCTGTTTCTCCCTGGAGAAGGACTTAGATGGCAGGATTAATAGGACACAATAATCATTCTGCCATTGAAAATGTGAGTATAAAACCTTTGAAGGGTAGAAAATCTGTCAGAGCTGTAAATCCTGATCCTGAGTTCTAAGGAAATATAAACTATATAACTATTATTAGTTATATAGACTCTATAACTTAGACCAAAATTACAAAGTGCTTATATAACTTAAGTTATATCAATATATAACTTATAATATATACAGCTATATAACCTGGTATCAATATAACCTAAATAATGACTTTTTATATATCTAAATAACCTGATACCTACATAACCCAAATCATAGCTTTTTATACCTATATAACCTGAATCATAACTTTTATACCTAGTAAACTGATATAAATCAATTTTTATACAATGTAATGGCTGGTATATGGTTAACTAGTTGCTTAATGCTGAATAGGAAAAAAAAGAAAAGGAAAAAAAACCTCAACAGGTGGATAGCTTAGATAAGTATAGTCTAATGAAAAATAGTAATGATATATATAATACTAATGAAAAATGGTAGTTTTATTTAATTTTATTACTAAAAATAAATAAATAAACACCTGCTCTATAGACATTGGTCTGTGAGGATTTATTTCCAGCCTATCTTTTGGGCATCATATGCAGCCACTCTTCTAAGAACCTTAAAGCTTGTTTTGGTAATCTATTTCTTTTTTGAAGGATTCAGTAAAAATCACTTATGTCAATAAATCTGTTAAAATAGAGTGAAAATTGGTGCCAAGCTTTAGAGAAAGAAAGGAGAAAAGAACAGCCCATGGTAAGCACCAGTCCCATGTAATTAATGCTGGAGATTGCTGAGGCCACAGACACACAAGAACATGTCATGACACACTCTGTGCTTGCCTTAAATCTGGACAAGAATAAAATAACTTGTCTTTTTTTCCTGCTGCCCAGCCCGGCTGTTTTCTGCCGCTGCTTTGGGTTTTTCAGTGCCCTTTAACCCCACACCTCATGTCTGATGTCTGCCCAGACCCCCGAGGCTCCTGCCAGTTTTTGCTACACTTTGTTTGTCCCCTGGGTGTGCCCACCTCTGCCTCTTGGGATTTTGCTGGTCAGAGTGACCCCAAGATGTGTTAGAAAGTCTCTTTCTCCAGGCTGGCAGTTGAAGAAGGAGTCAGAACTCCTCTATTCTCGGTCTCAAGGTTGTTTATTGTCTCTATAAAATTCTTTCTCCGACCCACCAAGGTGTGTCTGGCAGGTCAGGCTGAGGGACACAGCCCTGGCCAGCAGCACGTCCATCCTCAGAGCCCTCAGGGACTGGCTCTGCCAGACATGGTGGAAGCTTCCAGCAGCTTCTCACAGGAGCCACCTCTGTGGCCCCCTGGCTACCAAATCCAGGCTGTGCAAAACCAACAGCCTGCTGAACTGCAGCAGTAGATCCCAGCACAGTCCCAAGGGGAAGGAGTTCAGTTTGCTTTCTGTCACAACTGAACTTCAGACTCCGAGGCTTCCTGGTGAGAACAGCCTTCAGCTGTACCTTGGTGGCTTCAGCAGCAGTCCTGGCTCACTTGCCAGAGCTCAGCAACCTGTACTTGACTGACACAGATCTTACACGTATTCTGCCCTGATGCCTCTGCAGATTCACCTCCTCAGAGAGACCAGGGTGTCACCAAAGCCATGAAAGCATGAAAGTACAGGGACAAGTGTGGCAATTGCTGCTGCTGCCACTATAAGTGCATGGCCAGAGCCTCCTTCCACCAGGGAAGATCCTGTTTGCATCTGTATAGAAGCAGCTCATTTGCTGGTCAGATTTTCAGAGAAGTCTCCTCAGGCTTCTCCCTTCCTGTTCCATCTACCCAATGGATGTGAGAAAAGATGACAGAAATCTGCCACCAAATGGAGAAAAACTACTTCTGGACAGCAGGACAAAATCTCTGCTCAGAGACCATTAGTTGTGGGCAAAAAGCACTGAGTATGGGCTACAAAAGAGAGACAAGTGTGCGTCTGGGGACACTGGGGCAAGGAGGTTGGCATCAGTGTGAAGTGCACTTGTGAAGGCCATGGGGTGTCCAAATAAAGAGAAAATACAACAGTGTGTGTTCACAAGGTGAGAGGGAAAGAAAACAAGCAACAACTCCAAAGTGCTCTCTGGTGAAATGTGTCATATTCTAGAGGACAATGAAGCTTGCAGAGGTAGGGACAGAATATTTTACCTGCTCAAGCATCCTCCTGAGGTCAGAGTTGAATGTATTACTTTGTATTCTCTTCTTTCGGAGTTGCAACTATGCACTGCAGATATTCCAGGCTCTTTGAGACTCAGGACAGCTGTTCCCATCCTGTAATGGCATGCTGGGCATCCAGAGAGGAAATGATGTGAGCTGGTGCCACGTGAACATTAGAAACAACAGTCAGGGAGAGTGACTGGGCCAGGAATGGTCAGTGCTAAGCCACATCTTCTCCTCCGAGAGACACCAAGAGGGGCAGTGCCAGGAAAGAAGAGGCACTGGAGATGGGGTGGCGGGGGGTAACGGGACAAGAGGCACCGGGCAGGGGACACGGGAACAAGTGGCACAAGTGGGATGGGCGAGGCTGGATGAGACACCGGGGCTCAATGCGGAGGAGCGAGGCGGCACCGGGAGGGGCTGTCGGTAAGAAGGGGGTTAAACAGGGAGGTCCCGAGCCCAGCGGAGCACCGGGGCC